GGAGCGTCCACACCATCCCGGGCACCTAGACGCTGATGGCAGAGATTACTGGTGTACAGGAGAGGAACTTGGGCTTGGCAGCAAACCCCCCCCTTGCCCAGAGGCCTCCGAGGTAGGCAGGCCAACACTCAGTGCTAGAGTCACTGCATATTCTTCCAAGAAGACTTAAGGACAGGGCGGCAGGGACGGGTGGCTGTGACAAGAAATGGGGTGGAAAAATAGAGAAAAGATGACCTCGAAGCCATCAGGGATGCTTTCGGCCTAGATGTTTCCTGTTAGATCACATGTATTATCTTCTTTTATTTTACATAGTATTAGAGCCCATGCCTGAGGAGCTCATAGGCATGGTCCAAAACATGTTGATTTTTTTTCTTTTGCTGGGTGGGGTATATAGTCGCCACACTGGGATGTTGGATAGCAGCCAAGTTAATTGGCAGATGTCCCCTCCCCGCCAGAGGTGCAAATCAGAAAATCTTTGAAGTGCTGCCGGTTTCAGATTCTGTCTTTCTGAAAATAAACCAAAGGTCTCAAGAATCAATTGGAAAGTGTTGGATTATGCTCAGAATTCAGCAAGGCACCAAATGGATTATCCAAACCACTTTGTGCCCTGAACTGCTTTTTAAACTTGGTTTGCATTTGAAGAAATCTGTGTTCAACATACACACACACATAATTTAATAATTACCTCAATCAACACTACCCTTACTTCTTAAGAAAGCTATAGACACCTTGAACACACTTCTGGTTTTCTTTTGGGTGATAGAGCAACCATATTAGCATTTTGCTTTTAAAAATTAACAAAAATGCGTACCATCTGTGACATCCAGCTTTTAAAGCAGATGTTATAATGTGAATCATCACATTTGGTATATGCTTATCGGGGTATACCATATGCTGACGACCCACTGAGTTTTCTTAGCATCATGGACACCTCACTGTCAAGTTATGGCCTGAAAATTTGGGCCTTGGGAGTCAATGTCTTTCACAACTTGAAGCCTCCCCATTGAACAGAGACCCATGTGTTACTGGCTTCCACTCTAACATCGGTACTGGGTGCTCTGCAGGCATTGGAGCCAACAGGGAGGGCTGGTAGACCTTAGTGTCTATGTGCAAGCCTGCTATCAACTTCATTTTCCTGAAGGAGAAACCAAGGTATCTAAGGATTATTGATTTGCCTATAGTGATTCAGTGAGTCGGCAGGGAATAGGGAATAAAACCAATTTCCTGGCATCATTTTCCATGCACACAACCCCTTACCTTGCAATGCCTAGACTAGAAGCCAAGAATCCATCTCCGAGAATTTGATCAGAAAACATATGAAGGGTGATTCTGAAACCACAGAAGCATTGAGAAAGTCATAAAGATGTATAATATATGATAGCATTTCCCAGCTATAAATAGGAAGATGCAGGGAGAAAAATAGAGACCTTATAAATCCATTGGGTCAGGAGAAATAGAAACTGCTTAATATTTCATTAAAAATGGATTTTCATAAATTGCACTTTGATATCTTTGGGTGAAAGACAGTATGTAAGGACTAGGGTGTTGTTATTCATTAGTTTTCATTATTAATAATTGGGACTGTTACTGAGCGAAAACATCAACAAGGTGTACTCTCCCTCTGAGTGGGGCACTCACCGTGTGTCCCGGGCACTCTTTGAAGTGTATTAAAACCCACAGCCCTCATCCACCAAAGCACTTAGTTTTTAAGGGACCCTGGACAACTAAAATGCCCTTTACAAAGTGGGCACTGCTGGGGCAGTTCTAGTTGGAAACTCTTATGCGGAAAGCCTTAGAATCTGGGGTCCAGAAAGGACGTGACAAATCAACTCATTTAATAGAGGGGGAAACTGGGGCCTGGGGGAGGTGGAGACATTTGCCCACACTGATGAGCTCAGCAGCAGCCTGTCTCCCCAGGTGCCTGGTTCAGTGGTGTTTGGGGTTTTTTTCCCCCACTCTGGTGAGAAGTGTATAAAGAGTTTAACAAAATAAGCTGGTACTCCTTCAGCAAAGGGTCCAGAGAGCAGGGGCAGATATGAGTGCAAAGTCAAGAGCACACAAGAAACCAAGAAGGAAGCAGACTCAGAAACCCAAAGGACAATTCGAGGCCATGTTAAACGAGCATTCATTTGGTTCCGGGCCAGGGTAGGAGCGGAGTGAGCAAAACAGGAAGGCAGAATGAAGCTTGGGGCGGAGGGGGCGGGGGGGTGCAGCCAGGTAGGTGGTCTAAGCAGAGAGACCGTGTCCTCGCCTCCCTTTCTGATAGGTGTTACTGTACACAGAGATCCAGGGGGCTCACCCAAAGCCTGTGACCGCGTGCCTCTGTGGGAAGACCAGCCCCCTCACTGGACAGGTACACACGCGTGTGTGTGCACACGCCCCTGCCCAAGTGCAGCCATACTCACGCCCGTGCCAGCCTCCCAAAGGTAGTCCAAAGACATAGTCATTTCCTTACTGGGGCGGCGGGGAGAGGGGGAGGAAAGGTTTCTTAGTGTTGTCTGCCAAGGCTGAGAAATGAAGGGGTCAGATAAGATAAAATTGGATATTAAAAACACATAAGACGTGCTGTGTTTCTAAACGGTACCAGCGTGGTGTATATGCTGTGGATTAGCAGCTGTGTTAAAGTTCAAATTCACTCAACGCTCCAATTATGTATTCATATGACAAATCCAGCTCCCCTCCCCAGATGAACCCCTTCACATCTCCTGATGGCGGCCACACACAGTCACCCTCACCATCCTCAGGACGCGGGCCAGTGGCGGCCCCCCATGGCTCACAGCACCTCCCCAAATAAGCAAAGTGCTGCATTTGCTTCTTCCTTGCCAAAACAAAACAAAAAACAAACAAAAGCCTCTGCCTCGTGCTGAATTCTAAGAGAATTGATTAATCTCTTTCCCTTGGATTCAGTGCCTTCATTCCTTGCCTCAGAGCTGTGGAGCTCTTTATAAGCTCCTGAGAAGCCATGGAATGGGCATGGCCAGGCTGGGGCCTTCCTGGGCCCTGTCCCCTCCCTCGGTCGTCCTTCTCAAAGAGTAAGATCACAGAGGCTTGGGCCCCTCTCCCCCCCTCTCCATCAGCCTTCCCCCAGGTGTCTGACTCTAACCCTCCTTCCTCCTGTTTGCCTGGTCTTTCCTCCCTTGTTCTGTCTTCTAGCCCCTTTTTGTCCCCAGTCACTAGAAAGGAAGGAGCCAAATCAGACATGGGAGTGATGGGTGGTCAAGCAGTTCTGCCCCTTGCCCCCTGCAGTTAGCAAGTCAGCAAAGGAAGGAACTTGGCCTTAGGATGGGCAGGAGGCTCCCTAGTGAGGACAGGGAGCAGCAAGTGGGGCAGGCTGGGTGGGAGCTCCCCTGGCTTCGGTGGGCTTAGCACCGGGAATAAGGGGTTTAAACTGAATATGGTGGGCCAGTGAAAACCTGTTTCCTCCTCTCCTTTGCTCCATCTGTCTTAAGCAAGCCACTTCCCCTCATCTGGTTGCAAAGGTATAATGTCTCTTACCCTTCACCCCCACCATCAGTGGTGTGCTATTTAAGGGCTCTAACTTTTGACCTCAGCAAGTGGGAAATATGGAGGGTTCAAGGTTGCCAAATGGCAGAGTTCCTAGTTACAGTTCATGGGAGAGAAAGGACCACGTTGTTAATTAGCTCTAAGCGGCTTGCAGCTCATTGCTGTTATCCAGAGCTTTCAAGTCAGGATTATAAACACACATCCCTGAAGAGTAACCCCACCTCCATTCAGCCCAGGCTCAGAGACCTTAAGGACTCCAAGACTCCTCACCACCAATATAAACACTGTGAATTTGTTAAAAGAGATGAGAGCCAATGTAGGAAACCATAAGCCTACGATCCATCTCCACAGGGGCTTTGGATCCAGACAGACATCCCTGAGCCTCCGTTTTCTCATCAAAAAAGCAGAAATAATACTTACTTGACAAGGCATTATAGATGTAATTGTGTTTACATGGCGTCTGTCTCAGGGGTATTGGAACAGAGCAGTTTCCCCAACCCTCCGGTCACAGCCCTGTCAGTGTCCACACACCTGGCCTGTTCTAGGTATCAGGAGCTCAAGTGTCTAGTCCCTCGAGTTGATTTGCAGAGTCTCTTGGTTGTTATAGCTGTGACAGGTATGATTTAGAAGTGATGCTTGGTTAGTGGGTCTTTCTCCCCACCCTTAGCAGGGAAACCAAGAGAAACTCACATATACTTGCACCAGCTACTTTTTTTTTTTTTTTTTTTTTAATGGAGAGCACAGAAAAGCATAAGGTCCATATGGCAGTTATTGATTTGGGCCATCTGGTAAACTAGGACTCGCTCCTACCATGTTGGCTTAGAAGCTACTCCGAAAAGCCTTTCCTCCCCTAAAAGATGCACTGGTCAGATGGGGACAGGGATGGATTTCATTACAGGGTGGGACCACAATGAGAGGAAACCAGGGCAGGACTCTGAGAGACTGTCTGCAACCCTGAACGTCCAACAAAGACCAGAGGGAACCAAGAAAGTGTTGATTGACACGGCCCCGAGGAGTAGATGCCCCCCCCCAACCATGATCTCCCCTGTTCACGGAGCAGGGAGGCCTCTAAGTAACTAACAAAACAACTGTGAAGCACTTTATAAAAATACCTTGTAAATATTCCTATTATGCCTGCACCGTGAGGGAGGGGGAGAATCAAGTTCAAGCTAATGAGGTCTACTAGCCCTAAAAGATGACCCTTCTGCTCCAGATTTAAGGCGCTTTCTTCTGCTTGCTCTCAGCCTAGAGGCAAGATTTTTCTTTCCTCTAAAAGTTTTTGTGAAGACCAGTTATTGTTTTCAAGTTAGAGCAGTGTGAGAAATTTAATTTTTTTTTCATGGTGCTTCTAAAACCCCAAACAACAAACACACTGATTATTACAAGCTTGAGGGGAAATAAGTTTCAATAGAACTTTTGCACCCCCTTCAAAGGCTGGGTGAGTGGCCACACTACAAGCAGGGATTTTGACAGAGGTTTCTCATCTGACCGTACAGGTATTCCAAGCCAACAACGACGCAACAGAGGTGGTTCTCAACAAGCTGCACACGCCCCTGCTGACCAGGTTCGTCAGGATCCGGCCCCAGACCTGGCACTCGGGCATTGCCCTGCGGCTGGAGCTCTTCGGCTGCCAGGTCACAGGTGAGGGGGTGGGTGTGTGACCTTTCCAGAAGGCTCACTTTCACCTGGAGCTCTGTTTAGCAGTATCTAATGCACGCTGACTGCAGACCCTGTCTTGCCGGATACCATTTATCTGTGCATCTGCTCATTGGCTGCACAAGTATTCTTGGAGGCCTGCTGTGCAACAGGCCCCACACTGGGAATGGAAGCGGACAGGGGAAGTGACAAGCAGATGGGGTCTCTAACCACATGAAACTTTCAGGCTGGTGGGCAGCATAGATCATAACCAGATCAAGTACTGGATAGTTTAAACTAAGATGCGTGTATGAAGGAAAAGGACAGAGTGCTCGGAGAGAGTGGCGGACCTAACTGACTGTTGTTTGGAAGTTTGGGGATGGCCTTTCTGAGGATGCGATACTTAAGTAAAGGTTAGTCTGATGATGATGGAGGGGAACAGCATTTGGAGCAGCAGGAACAGCATGTGCAAAGGGCACAAGGTCGTACAAAGCTATGATAACACATGTGGAAGCAAAGACCCCAGGAAAGTTTCCATGCTTGGGAAAACAATCATCCAGGAAACAGCTCAGGGCTCAGCTGAGCTTCGCTGCGCTCACAGCCCTGGGAGGCTCTGGGGGCCCCAGTGTCACCGACAGGGATTTGAGAGTCCTTGGCTAACAGTGTGGGATGCTCAGATGTGCCAGGCCCTGTGCTATGACCGTTTATGTAGTAACCGATGGAGTCCTTGCAATAACCCCTAAGAGGTAAGTTCTGCCGCTAGCCCTCTTTCAGACCTGGAGACACAGCAGTTGAATCATTTGCCTAAGGTCAGACAGCTAGTAAGGGACAAAGCAGACATGGACCCAGGCAGTCTGGCTCCCAGTCTGGGCTCTTAACCATGGTGCTTGAAATGCAAAGAAACCAGTGCTGACTTCCGGCGTGTGGTAGTCGGGTTCTTTGACAGCTCGCCATAATGGAAGGTGCTGTCCGGTAAGCAGGGTGCAGCCACGAGCTCTTGCGTCTCCCTCCCCTCCACAGATGCCCCCTGCTCCAACATGCTGGGGATGCTCTCGGGCCTCATCCCTGATTCTCAGATCTCGGCCTCCTCCACCCGGGAGTACCTGTGGAGCCCCAGCGCCGCCCGCCTGGTCAGCAGCCGCTCGGGTTGGTTTCCCCGGATCCCTCAGGCCCAGCCGGGCGAGGAGTGGCTTCAGGTGGACCTGGGAGTGCCCAAGACGGTGAAGGGCATCATCATCCAGGGGGCCCGCGGGGGAGATAGCATCACTGCCGTGGAAGCCAGGGCGTTTGTGCGCAAGTTCAAAGTCTCCTATAGCCTAAATGGCAGAGACTGGGAACACATCCAGGACCCCAGGACCCAGCAGCCAAAGGTAGGCCATTCCTGGAAGACCCCTCTAACCCAACCGCAAACAGGGACATTTAGTTTGGGGGTGCTCACTTCCTAACTAGACAGTCATCACCACAACCCCTGGGTTCTAATAAACAAACATTAGCTGAGAGATTACTTTGTGCCAGACACCCTGCTAAATGCCATATTTTAATCCTTCCAACATCTCTAGAAGGAGGATCCTTCTGTCGCTCCCATGTTAGAGATGACAAAACTGAGGCTTGGTGTCACCCCCGGGGTCACGGTGTATATCGTGGAGAGCCATGATTCAGACACAGTCTGACTCCAGAGCCCAGACACCTACCCCCCACCCCGCACTGCCTTTCTGTCAAGTTTGACACCCTTTACGCCCTCTTTCAGATGATGTTTCCTTGGAATTGACCAGACATCTAAAAAGGGATGTAGGTTTTGGAGGCCTAAGTATAGACACTTGGGGATTACTTCCAAAAACAACTGTTTTCTTTGAATGTCGCCGCACTCCTTTGTATTTTCCCAGTCTGGACTCTGCTTAGATCTTTCCCACCTCTCAGACTGAGGCCGGGAGAGGCAGGAGAAACTTCCCAGGCCAGCATAGCCCACTTTTCCTGCCATCAGGGAGTAAGGGTCAGCCCTCAATGCTGGGTCTGGAGGAGCCCCCAGCAAGAGGAAAAGACATCATGTCTGTCCCTCTCCAGGTCAAGCTCGGGGGGAGTCAGACATTCTGATCCTAACTGCTGAGTTACCCTCATTTGAAAGCAGGCCTCTTTTACCAAGGAAGGGGGAATTTCATGTCTCTATTTGGTCCCCTTTGCTCAGCAAATGTTTCCATTCTTAATGTAGAGGCACAGGCTGGATTGGAGGCTTGGCAGTGCTGATATAAACACCCAGTTCACACTTTAGGGGCCTGGAAAGGCTCAGGACTTGGTAACTGGAAACCTCAGTGGACAGAGCAGAAGTTGGACCGTGGGTTTTCCCGGGGAGAGCTGACCCTGGCTCTTCTCGACCCATTCTGGGAGCCTGGGAAAGGAGATGATCTTAGCCAGTACCAGGGCCTGCCCTCCCCATGACAGTGCCCCCTTTTGAATTGTGGGCATCCTGCAAAGGAGGTAGTCCCTCAGCATCCCTAGGTGCTGATCAGCCACAGCCCCTGGCACGTCTCCACACTAACATCACCCTAATCAGTGGCTCCCACATGTGCTCTAGGTTGCGTCCCCCACCTGGCTTGGACCAGGAGAGCCGCACTATCCTCAGTTCGTGTCCTGGGGCTCTAGGTGAGCTTTGTTTTGACAGAATTGGCTCTGCTAAACAAAGCTTTGGGGGACATGGTCTCAGACTATCAATGTATGATGAGAGGATGTTGTTATTAGCCTGGAGAAGATGGTCACTCTACCTTCAGCCTTTCGGTGACCTGGGAACTGTCAGTCAGCTGGGGCTTTCTACATAGACTTTTAAGCATTACGAGAACTTTTTTTTTTTTTTTAAGATTTTATTTATTTGAGAGAGACAGGAAGAGAGCATGAGTGGGGTGAGGGGCAGAGGGAAAGGGACGAGCAGACTCCCCGCTGAGCGGGGGGGCCTGACATGGGGCTCCATCATGACCTGAGCCGAAGGCAGACTCTTAACCACCTGAGCCACCCAGGTGCCCCTACAACAAGAACTTCAAAGACAATGGGCAAAGCAGCCTGAAATTCACTTGTCTTCTCTCCAGCCAAGTCCATTCAGAGCCTAATTCTTTCCCAAGTCCACAGCCTCCAATCCCAGGGTAGAAGACAGAACCTAGCAATTGCCACTTTCATTTGCTCCCTCTTTTCTGTGTTTCTGGGACCCTAACCATCTTCCAAATGAACCAAAACTTTGGTCTGAGGATGGAGTTCCTATGGGTTGTAACGTCCAGTGAGTCAACTACGAAGCTACCTTCTGGATGGATGGGCAGGGCAGGGAGGAGAAGGGGAAGGATAGGAGAGAAGGGGAGGGGTGGGCAGGGGAGGGGACCCCACAGAAGAGGAGCTGAGTGGCCTGTCTCCCCTGCAGCTGTTTGAAGGGAACATGCACTATGACACCCCTGACATCCGAAGATTCGACCCTGTTCCAGCGCAGTACGTGCGGGTGTACCCCGAGAGGTGGTCTCCAGCAGGGATTGGGATGCGGCTGGAGGTGCTGGGCTGTGACTGGACAGGTAAGGCCTGCTTTCCCACTCCAGGTCTCACTCACATGGTCGTGTGACCCTGGCTTCCCGGGATGCCCTGGGAGGAGGTAAGACCATGACGTGGATGGGCAGAGGGGCAGCCCTCCCCGGTGAAGCTCTTGTCAGCTCGAAACCCCACCCACCCCAGGCCCTGTCATGTTCTCCTGCCCTCAAAGCCTGGGCACTCCAGCCTCTGGACAGGGGACAATTTCTCAAGGGATGTGCTTTGTCTTTTTTAAAGGATCATTTCAGTTCCCCAACCCCAGTCTCTCAAAAACAAATCATAACCACACACCACCCACCCAAATTCAATTAGACCCTGACTCTTCGGGCCAGGAGGCTGTGGCTGTTGATTTAGGGAAGAAAAAAACCCCTCATGATAATAAAGTAATCAGTTTATGTCTGAATCTGGCCTCCAGATGTCAGTGGCTAAGAGACTTCATTTTCGTTTCGAAGCCACATCTGTAAAAGGCATTTATTTGCTCAGGAGGGACCCTGTTGTAGGGGAGCTGCTGGGAGTAGGACTTCTTCCCCGTGCGCAAGCAGGAGTCTTGCTCATTCTTTCCCCCCCCCCTACCCCCCCCCCCCTCCCCCCGCCACCCTCGGTGGCCCAGGCCCAGGGAAGACCTCTAACTCTCCTTATTGTAGGTAAGGCCCACTGCGCATGCCCATCCTCCCTGTTTCCCGGAAGCACCCTTTTCTTCTGAGTCAGCCCCCCTCCCTTCCTCTGGGCACCTCCTTGGGCAGAGCTGGCGCGAGATCTCACCTGAAGCTGGCTCACTGCCCTCCAAAAGGAGCTCAGGGGAGCCACCTGAACCCAGTGCCAGCAGGAGTGGCAGACAGGCCGAGCTGCCCCACCTCTGTCCGCCAGGCCCCCAGGTATCTCCATTTTCCTGTCAGTGCCCTACCGTCTCCAGCTCCCCCAGCAGGGCATCGGGAAGGATAATAAGGGCATGTCGGAGAAGTGCCTCTGGCGCCCAGGGGGGAGCGTGCTGCGTCCGATGGCACAGAGGAGGAGCCCCGTTGAGGCATGCAGGCTGGAAATTGGGTCCAAATTAGCCTCTCTCACCTTTGGATTGAAGGCAGCCCCAGCGAACACATTTTAGAGGGAAGATACTTTACTCCCCCTCACATAGGGGAAAGGCCAAGTTTCCCTGCAGCCTGCTGAATGTGAGTCACCTGTCTGCTTGCAGGTGCAGAAAACTGCCCCTCCAGAGTGATACAAGCTGGTGTCGTTTATGGCCTCTTTGAAATCAAAGGGTTAGAGCTGCAGGGGACCCAGGAGATTCTAAAAGCCAGGGGCTTTCAAACATTTTTGACCATGATCCACAATTTAAAATAAATTTATATCACAATCCAGTTGGCTTGCAAGCACACACTCACACGGTGCGTGCATACGGGTTATGGTGTATTGTTAAGTGCTGGACCCTGGGGACAGATTGCCAAGTACAAGCCCTGCTTCTGCTGATCGCTGGCTGCATGACCTCAGGACAAGTTCCTTAGACTCTCAGCATCTTGGTTATCTCAGCTGAAAAATCGGGATGACAATATCTACACCCCCTAGGGCTGATATGAGGATTCAGTGAAATAATGGATATAAAGTACTTAGACTGCTGCCTGGCACCTAATAAACCTGCAATAATAAGTAAACGCAACTGGAACGAACGGTTCCCAGATCAGTGCTCATTTTCCCCATGTGAGCGCACTCTGACATATTATAGTCCACATTCAAAAATGCTGATCATGACCCATCACATTGATCCCACAACCTACAAACGAGTGTGGCATACACTTTGAAAAAAAAAATCACCGATCTAGGCCAACATCCTTATCACAGGTGGGGAAACTGAGTCCCAGAGAGAGAAAGCTACTTGTCAGAGGTCTGCCCCTCTGCGCCACGCCTCTCCCGGGCTGGCCCTGCTTTATGACCGGCTGGACAGTTGCTAATGCCCTTTTCCTCTTATTGCTCCCCCGCCCCAACCTGGTCCAAATTACCCTGGCGATGGTCAGCAACAGGTTTCTCATTTCAAAGTCCTGCCTGGCCATTCCTTGGAAGATCAGAGTTGGGGCTTCTTAGCCTCTGCCCAGCCTCCTTCCCTTTGAAGTCGCTGACATCTGGTTTCAGTTGTAAGGGGAACATTGCAGTTTGATGGGCAGTTACCCCTGAGCTCCCAGGAAAGCGCAGCGGACATGGCCTGCCTTGTCACTATCCTTCACACACCCCGGTCTCTCCTTGCCTCCTCAGACCCCTGTGCCCCTGGATTTAACGTGATCTTTACCAGCCAGCTACCTAACCTTCCCAGAAACTGCTCTTGTGGGCCATGTGACTTTTTTGCTTTTCAAATTCCCATTCCTTTCTGCGAGGCGTCCCTGGTTCACTTCGTTCCTACCCCAAAAAAGAGAGCGGGGAAAAATAACAGGGCTGGCCTGAGTCACTGCAGCTAAATAATTTGACAGGGCTGCTTCACCTGTTAGTTTGTTTGTGTTCCAAATGATTACTTCTTGCTTTGCTGCCCATAGTTTGCTTTACGATTGAGTTTGAGATTCTATGACCCAGTGACAAATTTGAACTTACAAATTAGGACGCTTCGAGGTTATTTGCTATTTACTGTGAGCAAGAGGCAGACACGGCAAAGGGAAGTATGAAAGGTTATGTGCGTCGTATTTAATAGCAGAAAGATGGGAAGTCGACCGTGAAAAAGCTATTCAGCGTATTTAGCAATTTCCTTCAGCTCCTGGCTTTATTAAATGGTATCCTAAAGTGTGCCTGACAAAGGCATCTAATCATAGGAACGTGTATAGAAATGGGAGGAACAATGCCCGAACTTATTCGGCGAGTCTCTCATTGGAGGGCAACTGGGGGCTGAAGACCCCACCCCATGAGGCAAGGACTTGAACGCCAGTTACCAGAACCCCTCCTCGCCCCACCCAGGGCGTGACTCACTGTTTCATTCATTTCATAAATAGTTGCTGAATGAATGACTGGCGTGAGCAAATAGACAAGTGAATGGATGGGGGAATGAATCACCTAGAGCCTAGGTCAGAACTGACTGCCTGCAGCCAGGTTTGGCCCGGCCAAGTTCTGTTGCATGCTCCTTGTTTTAATACTTTGAAAAAGTTGCCAACACGGACAAGTCTAGAGACCTTCCATGGGAATGGAATTGACTTCGTGCTGGAAAAAAAAATTTCTTTTGCAAGATCTGGCCACATTGGGCCCCCTCCCTTCAGGCCTTCAGTGTGCTGGAGCCCGTTTGGTGGCCTCCCTTGAATCAGGGCATGCGAGATGCCCTCTGCCACCTTTCGTCCCGCACTGAACTCTCCCCAGCCCCCAGTCAGCCGTCTAGCTTACAGGAGCTGCATCCAGGAAGCCTTTGAATTTGCCACACCCTGACCTAAAGGCACAGCCGCAATTACTTCCGGCAAGTGGAGTCTGAGTCCCTTTGGGTCCCTTTCCGTCCAGTTTTGTGCAAACGTGAACAACAATGGCTGTGGTTGTCTGTCTTCACTCATAGCTTTGGCTGTTGTGCTTCTGATGATCCTGTTAGAGGCGGGCCTCCTAGGTCAGTTAGCTTTGGTTCAAAAAAGTTCTGTCTGAGTCAGAGAAGGCTGAAAAGCGGACATCTCTTCCACCTAAGAGCAGGGGTGAGCCGGGGCAGTACACAGGAAGCTCACGTCATTAAGCACTGAGACTTTTTCACTGTTTTGAATGGGCACCACTGTGTGTGTGTGTGTGTGTGTGTGTGTGTGTGTGTGTGTGTGTTAGCCTGCCTTAGGGTCTGCTTCGCCCACATCCCTCACGGTCCACCTGGCCTTTTGTGCTGGCCGCAGGGCCTTTGCTGTGGAGTCTGCGGCAGGGACATAGGTTTGTGTCCCTGCCTGTGTTGTGGCTGTTCCTGCAGCTTAGGGACTATTCTTGTTCAACTCAGGCTGTGCTTCTGACTTCACTGACTCCAGGGACGTGTGTGTACGTGTATGTGTATGTATCCATCTTCATTCATTACCTTTTCTTCCTCCTTTAAAAGCCCACACTTAGGAAGGAAACTGAGTTTGGGGCGTCTTCCTCCTGCTGGGTTTCAATGCAGGCTGCCGCGTGCAGCATTCACTCCCCCCTTTCTTTGTCCTTATGCAGACTCGAAGCCCACGGTAGAGACACTGGGACCCACGGTGAAAAGTGAAGAGACCACCACCCCATATCCCATCGATGAGGAGGCCACGGAGTGTGGGGAGAACTGCAGCTTTGAGGATGGTGAGCCATAGTTCCTCTGGGATGGCACAGTGCCGACAGTCAGAGGCAGTTGGCCTGTGGCTGGGGCGGGGACCTGGACGTTCCCTGATCAGAGGTCAGGGAGGTGTGGGTAGTCAGGAGCTTGGGGCAGTGGCCATTTACAACCCATCTAGAAACATTCACATAGTGGAACAACCAACCAGTGACAGCCTACAGGCATGAACCTACTGGTCATCAGCTGAGATAAGGGTCCATCCAGAGAGGACCCCTCATTTGAGAAGCCTCCCTTTCTAGCCCTCACTTCGAATCATTAGAATCCTCAGCCTCTTTGTACTGAGCTGTGTCTCCACTATAAAGTCAGGTGAAGATCTGGTGGTCATCGGGGTGACTTGGCCCATGGAGCACAGCGGTCAGGTTAACTCAGCAGTTAACCATTCCGTGACCGCATTGCCCTGTGTCTTCGCCCACTGCTGATTGAGAAAGTGTAATAATCATGGCTTCAGAAAATGGCACATCCCATCCTCCATGGGGGGTGAGCACAGATCAGTGACAAAGGCAGAGAGGTGCAAAGGCACCTCAACCCTTCCTTCAGATCCCAGGGGCTCCGCGTTCCAGATCAGCCTCTTCACATGGGAGCTCTGTATCACCTTTCTTTCATCTTCTGAACGCATCTGGGTGAGGTAAAAACAATAATTGGCAGAGCCCAAAAGGATGTCACCTTACCAACTATGAGGACATTCCTAACAAGCCACAAATTTTGGAATACCTGGCATTTTGGGCTAGAATTTAAGGCTCGACAGCCTCCACTTACAGTAAATTACTGATCCTCATTAGACGTTCATTAGGCAAAATGAGGGGAGATTGGTGGAGAGACCTGGGGAGGCTTGGAGAGACTTGGTGGAGACACAGCGTAGCACCGACTCGGTAGGTAGATGGCACAGTCTGCGAGGCCCCGCGCCCCGCACGCGTGCCGACACCACTCCACTGATGGAGTGGCTGCCTCCAGAAAGTGGCTACAGAGGAGAATGGGAGGGAAGCCAGACATAAATGCTGAAGTTGTGTGACTGAAAAATGATAATTTAATGCATATGCTTTTAGGAATGTGCTTTTGTATATTGTGTGGGCAGGGCAACACTATTGGTCAGGGTGAGCTGAATACAAGATTCTGACATTTTAATGAACTTGTTTTTGTCTTATGAAGAGGAGAAGGAGACTTGGAGAATCTTCCAAGACGCGTTTAAGATGGTCTGCGAGCTCACGGTGGAATGCATAGGGAGTTAATATAGGGCATCGGATTAACAGAGCTAGCTTGGTGGAGGGCAGGAGGAGGGGGTTCTATCTAAATGGTGATCCAGAGGAAAATTTAAGAGTTCTGCTGTAAACTTTCAAAAGTTTAATGTCATTTCCCCGTTTATAGTGGTTTGTTTCATTTGAGCTTTCTTTGGTGGCTCCTCCCTATTTTTTTTTTTTTTTTTGCAGAAGGTTTCTTTGTGGAATTTGGTTCCTGAGACAGAATATGCGTGTAAACATGAGAGAGGAATTATGGTATATTGAATTACTCCATATTTTTTAATGGAAAAATAGAAATTCAGAAATTGTCGGGAGCAGGGGGGGTGAGGGCTAAGGGCTGACTTTTCCAAGCCACAGGTTGTGGCTTCTGTAATCGATTCCATGTGTTTCTCCTTGCCTTGGGCTGACCTTGCCTTTGGCCAAGGGTGGGCAAACACGAAATACTCCCTCTTGAGATGGGGAGGCACAGCCAAGGCCCAGGGCCTGGTGGCGGTCTGCCTCGGTGGCCAGCAGCGCCCTTCCCCTCGCCCCCATGGTGTGAGCAATTTGTCTCCACCAGGCCGTTGTTCCCTGTAGACTTCCTAACCTGCATTCTAGGCCTTCCCCACGGAAATTCCTCTCTGGGAACCCTGGGAAGGGAAGTGAGAAGGCCAAAGACCCCACTTCCTCCTGGCTACTAGTGTTAGCCAGCACTTTTCCGCTGTCTCTGCAGCCGCTGCCGGCAAGCATCCAGATTTGGCTTCCCGTTTCCTTTCTCCCACCTCCACACGCCCGCCCCCGCTTCATCACATCTTTGGCACCAGCTCATAGTGGATTTTTAGAGCTGACTGGAGCCTCCAAAGAAAGTCTTTGGGTTCAGTCTTCCGGCCTAGGTGGACCACTGAGCAGACAGGGACGAGCCATTGTGCGGTCACTTCTGACATTTCCACGAGGAAGGCACTCCCTGCTGCCCCTGGGATCTTGGCCCGCAGATACTCGGTGCCATGCGAGATTATTTTTGCCCCTGGCCAGTGCTGAGCGAGGCGGCCGGCTGCTCTGGCCCCTTGCTTTGCCCTACCATGCCAAATCGCCCACCTGGCAGTGCTGCCCCACAGGGAGGCCGAGCTGACCCTGTGTCCTGGCACAGAAGACCTATCACAGGAGGTGAAAGGGGGGACAAACAAGCCTTCCTTGTTTCGGAGCTCACTCTCTCCTCCCTGGCCAGCACCTCCCTGGCACGTCAGCCTCTCTGGATGCTAATAGGCTGCCCCATCACTTGTGAGAGCCAGGTTGGCAGGAGCCAGCCTTCCACTGAGGCACTGGGGAGACATTCTTCTCTGGCACTTAGGGAACAGCAATTTTCACATTTGTCTGCTCTCTGAGGTGGACAGAAGAGCCTGATTAGAGCCTGCAGCCATTTGGTGGCCTCATTTATAATTGCTTACTATGGGAACCACTGGCAGACTTGGCTTTCGGGCCTGGGAAGGATGAGACCAAAGGCTGACCTGAAAGCCAACGATCGCCAAGATGAGTTAAATGAATCAGCAAAGGGAGCCACTTCTTTCTCTGCCCTCCACTTAGGCCTTGCCAGCGTTTTGAATAGCACCACTGTGGCCGTTGTCCCAACCCATTTCATTTGTGTTCTTTGGGTTATCCACCCCCCCCCTTTCAGACAAAGATCTGCAGCTCCCTTCAGGATTCAACTGCAACTTTGATTTCGCCGAGGAGCCCTGTGGTTGGATGTACGACCATGCCAAGTGGCTCAGGAGCACCTGGACCGGCAGCTCCAGCCCAAACGACCAGACGTTTCCAGGTAAGCCAGCGGCAGATTTGGAGAGGAGAGAGTTACGGCTAGGCTGCTGCCCGTCTTGAAGCCTCAGATGCCCTGACAAGCTTCGTAACTTCCCACCACAGAGCAATCCTCTGCTCCGTGCCCACAAACCACCACAGTCTTTGCTCACAGCGTCTACCCTACAGAAGAGCTGGGTCGTGGTTCCTAGCCCTGTCTTGTGATTCACAGTGCAGCCCGGAAGCCGGGAGGGAGCAAGAGAGGCCAAGAGGAAAGAAAGAAAAAGAAGAAAGGAAGAGTAGTTGGGAGGTTTCAGGAGGCGGGATGAGGTGGTGCCCCCTTGTCACCATAGCTGTAGTGCTCCCGGCCGACATCACAGAGCCTCTTGTCCACTCCTAAAACGTTCCTAAAATGCCTCCTTAGGAAACCACTGGCCTCCAGCCCGACGGATACTTCTCTGAGAGAAGTATCCTCACGGTGGTAGCAAACCAAGCTGAGGGGCCAAAATGCTGCCGTGCCCGTGGGGTCTCGCAGAGCTGCCTGGCACTCGGCTTCTGGAAGAGTGTTGCTGGAAGACAGTCCCCGACACACTGTTCAGCTGCCCTTTCTGAGTGCCGGCTTTGGGCAGCCTCCTGGGGCACTGTGGATGGAGAGGGCTTGCCTTGAGCCCTCCTCAGCCTGCAGGAGCAGGAGGGGTCTCCTCTGTCCACCGCAGCGTGTGTTTACAGCGGGGTTCTGGCCAGCATTGAACCACCAGCTCCCTGGGGACGGGGAAAGAGAGAAACCCTGCCTTGTAATATTTGCCACTTTCAGTGGCGTCAAGCGCCCCCCCCCCGCCACCACCCCGTGGTTATGCTACCGACACGTCACCAGAGGCAAAGGTGGGAAATACAAACAGCCTTGGATCGTTTTCTGCCATCAAACAGCTCGGATAGATAGGAATGACTTCAGTAGCATAGAGACTGGCAAGATGGATCCAAATACTGAGCAGGTGTTGAGTTCTGAGAATTTATGACCTTTCGTTTTTAATGTAACTTATTTAATGGTAACTTGATGTCATTTAATTTTTAATAATGACTGCGCTTAACAACTGCCTCGCAACATTCCAGAAAATTTAACAGTTGGCTCTCGCAAGCCAGCACACGTTGGCTCTAGCCCACCACGCATTAGGTTTTCATTGTTCTGCACCCCTGGCCTGGACCTCGGAGCCCCATAAGCATTTGAGAGCTAAGGGGTCCGTTCTGGAAATTGGTAGATCAAATGTTCCCTGACTGGAGAATAAAAGGGGGAGGAGGCCCCCCTCCTTCTGCAGGGTTCCCCAGAGCAGCTCTGCTGCCCCTCAACCCCAGGGACTGGCGGTGTCCCCTGCCCCCAGGGGACGGCAGTGGGAGAGATGCCAGGAGAGTTTTGTGGGCTGGCCTCCTGACACAGCCTGCACTTGCTTTCCTGGAGGGTCACAGCGTCTGCTCTGGAGAAAAACATTTTCATATTTCAAGTGTTTATCTCTTCAGCATTTGAGTGCTCAGAGAGATTAACATCTGAAGATCACCGTGGCCTCGGGCAACAGGAGAGAACACTTAACCCTCGTCCCAGTCTCAATCACCTTCCCCCCTCTCGTTCACTGCAATAATGTTTAATTAATATAATGAGCCTCCTGCACGTTGGAAAAAAAAAAATACTTATTTTTATAACCCAGCCTGGATTTTTCATTTCATTTCCTCTCCTTTGAGACCTGGCCCAATTAATTGGTTGTTTTTCCCAACCTCCACTTTGTATCTGAACATAAAGAAGGTTTGTGGGGTATGCGTCAGCGTGTGTAGGCATAGTGTGTACTTGTGGGTTTCGGGTGTCTTTATGCATCAGCGTAGGTGTTTCTTTCTCAAGGTGTTTGCGGGTTGTGTGTGTGTGCACATGTCATGCGTTTTATGTGTAGATGTTGGTGTGTCTGTGAATATGTGTGTACATGTGTTTGTATGCATGTCTTACATGTGAACTTCTGTGTGTGTGCGCATGGTTGATTGTGACTGCAGTGTGTATGTGTGTCATGCGCGTGCATGCACATTGCGTGAGGTGGGTATGAGGGGGCAGCTTGGCAGAGGCACTTTGAATGAAGGGACATAGATGACGCAGCATGGGGAGGTTTACTGGCTCTTACTCAGCGACCGTCTTTAGGTTCTCCCTAAGAATTCGGCCTTCTCCCTTGCACTCTTCTGAGCAGATTTTCTCTCGGAGGGCAGCCCTGTCCAGGCTACAAGGCCACCAATTAGCAAGTGACACTTCCGAGAGAGCTCCGGTTACTCTCCATCTGAGCCTGGCCTTCACCTCTGTCCCTCTGCCCATTCGCCTCCGCCGCTCCCTGGTTCAGACCTCACCCTCACCTGGGTGCCCCTTCTGCCACCCTGGCTACCAGTTGGAAATTCTAGCTCCTCATTCCAGTTGATTCATTACACCCTGCGGTCTGGGAGGGCTTTTCAGAGCAAGCTCGCAAAGCAGGCAGAATTCCAACCATTGGCTGGATGGATGGGGACAGAAAGAAAATTAGGGCCATAAGGAACTCCTCGATCTACTGTTATTTCTCCCTGAAGATATTGAGAAGGAAAATAATTATTTTCCTCTTCCAGAGGAATCCCTGCAGTTCGAAAAGGTGGCTCTTATAACCTGTCTCCAGAAAACAAAATCATACTGTTGGTTTCAGAACCCTTCCTTCTACCCTCTGATGATTTTAAAAGTCACTTGCTGTATTTGCTACTTTCCTTCTCCTTACAAGGCTCGATATGGGGCTTTAAGCAGAGGAGGATAGAAAGCCCTTTCTGTTCAGGGTGGTCCTTTCTTTAAAAAAAAGGGGGGGTGCCTGAGGAGAGCAGTTGGGAGAGGGGAAACAGCTGTGCCTGATCAAGGGCAGGGCAGATGGTGGACCTTCCAGTCAAACCCAAAAGCCCTGTGTCCCCCACACTTCGCCACTCCACAAAGAGGAGACGCTCTTCAAGAGAAGTGTGCCATATGTTTTATCCCCTTATGGGAAAGCTAAGCAAAAGTAATTGCGTGTAGGAAAAGAGGTGTCTTCATCGAGCATGGGGGGTGTTGGGGAATAGCCATGTTGAAATACCATACACAGCCTATTTGCTTAAAAGTGTCTGTGGAAACAACTTACATTCCTTAGATATTTTCTGATTTAGTTCTTTTCTCATGTTTTGTTTTGTCTTTTTTTTTTTTTCTTTTCCTTTCAAGTCAGCAATTAGTTCTGTTCTTTTGGCCAGTGGTAATAGTTGCTTAAGGCTGACAAGACACCACTGGTTTCATGCCACTGTTTTTGTTTTTCAACATAGTCTTTCAAGCCGCTCAGAACCCCTTCTTTTAGCTCTTTGCTTGTGGCTTATAAGCCTGGAGTGTGTGCTCACACCAGCCCCTGGGGACCCTGTCCCGAATTCAGTGACCCCTGGTGGTTGCAGAGGAGCCAGCCCCATGTCCTCTGAGAAGCCACTTTGCCTTTTCTCTGCAGCTACAGCCTCACAGGAAATGTCTTCCCTTGTGGGAGCCATAGTATTTTCTAGAGACATTCTCAAGTGCGATGATTGTAAACCCAGTTTTGAGGATGATCAGATTCTTGTGTTTCAGGGACAAGGTAAAAACTCTGAGATGCCGTGGTGAGTCCACCTGTCTAGAGCTGCACTGTTTAATATGGTAGCCACTAGCTATTTTAATTTTAGTTAATTATAATTAAATACAGCTATAATTTTAGTTCTTCATCTCGGGGGCTTGGTGGCCAGGATATATCGGACGGCACAGATGTAGACCGTGGCCGTCATCACAGGATTGTCTTGGTCAGAGTGCGTAGGCATCTTTTGGTATTGACGTGTGCGTGATCTCTGGGGTCCTTGCTGATGCTGCTTCCCCACAGAGGGGACCGATGGCAGTGTAAACCAAGAAGCAAGTAATTAGGTGGACGTGCCTTCTCTGTGGTCCCTTGGTGGGAATGTCCAGTGGCAGCTACTTTTGTCATTATGTTGTTCAACCTCAGTGAGCAACCACAGTAAGGTAAGCAAGTAGCATAGCATTAGATAGGGTAGGAACTATTTCATTTGACCAAAAAAAAGTAAATACTGAGTAATACAAATAATGGTAATAATAATAATAATAGTTATGGTTACTATTATTATCATTATTATCAGGAATGAGACAAGAAGACTAGCGAAAGAGCGGACCTTGGCAGGTCAGCTTCAGAATCCTCAAGTGTGTGGGCTCCCTACATGTGTGTTCTTTTATACGTTTGTTGACCTCATGAACTATGGTGACAGTAGTACTTCATTTCAATCACTCCAAATCATGGAAGTGATATAAAGGAAACAGGCAGGGTGCTGGCTGCCTCAGCTGGTAGAGCATGTGACTCTTGGTCTTGGAGTTGTGGGTTCAGGCCCCACATTGGGCATGGAGCCTACTTAAAATTAAATAAATAAATAAATAACAAGAAATAAAACAGGCAATGCCTACTTGTAACAGTACACCATTATGAAAAGACAGAGCTTTGGCTGCCTAGCACTTATGTGTTTACTCTGGATTCAAAAACAAGCTCAAGACAGACTAAGAATACAATGTTCTGAAATATTTGAATGTTGTTAATGGTAGCTATTCCATCACATGTCAGTGGTAGAGTTATTAACGTATCGTGGGGCTGTTTTGATGCAGACTGGGCCATTTATAAACTCCATGGGAGTAGAGGACCAGAACTGTGATTCACTGGGGGATAGGCGCGAGAGATTGAGTGTGTGGGGAGGTGGGTGGTTGCAAAGAAATTACAGAAAAGAACTGATGAGTGAACTTGCTCATGATGGGTTTGATATTTGACAGGGAGCTAGTAGTGACCCTGTGAATGAAAAAGCAACTCTCTCAGAACTCAAAAGGCCTCCCCTGTAGGTGGGACCAGGGCATCAAAGGATCCAGACTCTGCATTGGCATTAGCTTGAGTTGCTGTTGGAAAGAGGATGATGTGGCAGGACACAGCCACGGCTCATAGCCGGACGAGAGCT